GCTTTTATCTCCTTCCCACTAGGGAATGCCAGCCAGGCCCTTAGCAGCCTTCCTCTCCGGCTCGGTCCTCTCTGCGCGCGCCACGTGTCTCTGTACCTCAGGCTTTTACAGCTTCTCCACTCTTCCTTCTGGTTGTCTCCTTGTTTCTCGTTGTAGAATTTCCAGTCAGTCGACTTTCCTGTAGTTCTGGATAATGTCCATTTTATATTTTAGTTGTATTTTATTGAAATTGTTGTGTGCGGCTGCGGCTAGGTGTTTACCTGTGCAGCCATCTTGGATTCTCTCCTAGTCAGCTCATTCTAAAAGGGCATTGGGAGAAGAGGGTATGGAACAGTGAGGGCAGGAATAAACAAATGGAGTATTTTTCCCCAGTAGTCTTGAGGACAGGGATCATGTCCATTAAGCTCAGTCTAGTTTGCTCAATGTCTCTTAGTGAATGTTAAGATAGTATGTTTTGAATTAAAGTATTAAGTAATATTTTAATCAGACAAAAATTAAGAAAAATCACATCTTATTTCCCTTTTTATTAGAATGCTTTGATAATAGTAACAACAAAGCAAACTTTTTGTTAGCCTCAAATTATTGTCAGGGTAGACAGAATTTTTAGTATATCTAGTTTAGATTGCATAACCAGTATTTAAAACAGTGCAAATAAACTATAGTGGATGCTTAGATATAAGTTAAGTAACAAAAATTATAATGATCATTCGTCTTCCAGGCTTTACATATTTTTATTTTATTTACAATTTGCTTTAATTTAGGGAGAAGAACTTCTACAGAAGTATCTCAGGGGGGATCAACTTAGAGGAAGAACTTCCACTGAAATGTTCATGTACATTTTTTTTGAAATAATAGGCATGATACTAATGTCCTTGGAAAAAAGGTTTTAATATCAATATACTCAGAATACAATTTCTGTGTGAATACAATATATAATTTTAAAATATAAATTATAAAATCATTAATTTTAGAAAGTTTTCAAACTACCTAAGTACCAAAAGAAACGCATATTCTGGCATAAAAGTAAACAATTTTCTCTATATTATACCCAAATTAAAGTTTACCCGTATTCTAACATTGAGAAATGAGATGACCAACATTAAAAAGTCTAACCAGAAAAAAGTCAATGATGACTTCATAGACTATTTTTATATGTATATAAAATATTTTATATTAGTTTTTTTTAATACATGACTTGTTCTCTTTTAATAACATGATTTACATATTTAACAAAGGGTTATGATGTGCTGGGCAAATGGAAGACTTGAAGGCTGAAGACTAATGTTCATCTAGAACTTCCTACATTCTATCCCTTGTCCAAGTTTGCACACTGTAAATGTCTGAATGAATAAGTTACATCACACTGATTTCTTCAGCTGTAAATTGGAGGTGATACAACGTATCACACAGAATATTTGTAAAGAACAACCAAGAGAACTAATGGGTACCATACTGCTTTGTTAACTTTAAGACTCTGAGCTAAAATATTTTTAAAGATCTGAGTTAGTAGGGTTTGTTATTTTGTAAAACCATCAAATAAACTCCTTGGCTTTGATGTAGTATTTTATTCAGTTATATTTCCTGTTAACAAATATACCATTAACAATCAATTTGTTCAATGTTCATTTTGAAGGGAAAAATATCTTACAACTCATTTAAAAAACAGCATGTAATCCAGGTCAACATTAGTGTCCTTTTACTTCCTTTGGTTAAGTTTTAAGAAATATCTTTGTTTCAAAAGAAAATTATTTCATTATAAGAAGGTCTGAAGTTTATATTCTCATTAAATTCCAATTTACCAAAACACTTCACATATATGTCCTTTATAGCATTTATCATATTATATAATAATTTTTTTTTTAATTTCAGGAGACTTTGAGCAACTTAAGGGTAAAAAATCTAATCAGATTAATCTCATTTTTAAAAAAGCATTTTATTTTAAAAATGTTTTTATTTATTTATTTTTTTTAGAGGGAGAAGAAGGAGAGTTAGAAACATCAATTAGATTGACTGATTCCTGCATACCACCACCACTGGGGATCAAGCCTGCAACCTGGGCATGTGCCTTGACTGGGAATCAAATTGGTGATTTCTTGGAGCAAGGAATGACATTTAACCAGCTGAGCCACACCAGCCAGGCAAAAGTCATCTTTTTATCAAGTTACTATAGCATTTGGCTGGTTCTTTTTTTTTTTTTTTTAAACATATTTTTATTTATTTCAGAAAGGGAATGAGAGGGAGAGGTAGAAACATCAATGATGAGAGAGAATAATTGATCAGATGCCTCCTACTCGCCTCACAGTGGGGATCAAAACCACAGCTCAGGCATGTGCCCTGACCAGAAATCAAACCTTGATTTCCTGGTTCATAGACTGAGGTTCAATTTCTGAGCCATACCTGCAAGGCTTGGCTGGTTTTTTCTAAAGGTTATGCCTAAGTAGACATAGAATGAATGAACAGAGGATATTTGTTGTGTCCAGAAAAAAAGAGTTATTATAATTCTGATTAGTTTTATATATGGACAAAATGATAAGAAGTTTAACTAAACTAAAAATAGGATTTTAAGTATCTTTTTAGATTTTATTTTATGAATAAGGCTATTTTTAAGGTAGACAGATGTTAATGAAAGAATCTGATGCACAGTGTCAGGAGGACAGTGACATGAAAACAAAAAATTTTTTCACTTTAAAATTACTCAGTGGTAGTTGTCTCAAATAATAATGAATGGAAGTTGCTGAAAGCTTGTTGTATTTAATAATGTTCTATTTTTGTGATTTTTAAAATGTTATATTAAGATACCAAGATGATATTGTAAATGGGAATCTGCCTACATTAGTGTTTTGTATTGGGGAGGGGTAGTGAACTACATGAGAATCTGTATTTGGAAAGCATAGTTAATGTTTAAATGATTATTTATCTAACTTATTTTGAGGTATAAAGTAGATATGGTCAATAAGTGTTTGCTGATGATTATGACTAGGTATTGGTTAAAAGATAATTTGAAACCATATTAGAAAAAAGAACATGGAGCTAAATCTAATATTTAAGATAAAATGGTGAACAAGGTTTATAATATAGGGTGAAGCAAAAGTGGGTTTACAGTTGTTCATATGGAAAATAATACAATTAATAAATAAGAACAAATTCTGCTTCATGTACTCACAACTGTGAACCTACTTTTGCCCCATCCTGTATACAAAAAAGGATTTTCATAAATATTTGTTGTAAGTGCCTTACAATTAATAGAGATTTTCCTATCCTTAACTTTGTAAAATCTAGTTACTTGGGAGGCATTCGTTATTAAAAGAGGGTGCCAATAGTATAAAAAGACTTTTGCTAGGATCCAAGCAAAACAGCAGTGTAAGCCCTGGCTGGGTAGCTCAGTTGGTTCAATCCCTGGTCAGGGTACATATCGATATAATAATCAACCAATGAATGCATAAATAAGTGGAACAACAAATCAATGGCTCTCTCTTTCACATACACATCAATAAAATAAAAAGAACCACCACCCAGGAATTTAAACAGCTGGGGGGAAGAGTATTTGTGTGGTGTTTTTTTTTTTTAAATCAAGTAGCATTTACTTTATAGGAAAGATTTATAGTAATTTATGATTAGGTGTATGTTACTTTCATATGGTGATGTCAGAAAGCTTGAATCAGGATTAAATAACTTCATGATACATTAATAATTTTTGCTGGATTTGATCAAAACTATTAGAAGAAAAGTGTTCTTCATACACATTTATCTGGTGAAGTAAGGCAAACTCTTTAATTGTTCAAGTGGCGACTATAAGAATAGTTCTGACATTCTATTTTGTAAAATAATTAGCACTTGCATAGCTTTATTCACAGACATGTGTTTTTGTAGGGAAGTACATTTTATTTCCCTTTTGCAGTATGGTTGTTCTCTTCCACTCTTACTAAGAAAGGAGATAAAAAGCAAGCTGATGTGTAAGAAAAACTGATTCCATTTTAAGTTATAAGTTGTAGAGATATAATAAGTACTGTTTTATGATTAAATTCTATTGTAGATTTATGGGAGGAGGGAAAGCTTAAAAGTTTTGGTATCAACATACATGAAGGCAGAGGGAGATTTCTAACAGGGAACTGGTAGCATATTTGCTTATTAATGCATCAATTTTGAAATTAAAAAATTTTTAAGTAAAAGAGTAGTATAAAGTTATCTTTTTATTATAGGTAAAAGTTAGATCCTGATCTCTGCATTATTTCACAACATATTTTCTTAGAAAGTTAATATAACCAGCTACCAGTTTTTATGGTACTAGTCTGAGGTACTGGAGTCCTTACTAGCTTGGATGACTCAAGGGTACTTCATATTTAAAAATATTTTCAAAATGTTTTACAATCCATTTTAAAAGATAATATTCTTATGAGGGAGATTATGATTAGCTCACTTATACTGTTAAAAAGATATAGAAAGTTTAAATAAGAGAACTTGCCCTGCAACTCAGGCTTTTTTTCTGTAGTTTCCAAATCACAGTGTCAGTAATAATTTAATTAATACAAACCCCAGCAGTTTTAAAGTCATATTTAATATTGGTTAACTCCTAGTTACCTTACTTAGAATGTAATGTCTCAACTTTGGTACACAAAAACATTTTTTCTAGTATAAATTGAACACATAAATGTTATAGAGTGTTCTTGAAAAGTTGTTTAAAAAAGCAAAAACACATCTTGCAAAACTTCCTAGCAAATTTTTAACGTATGTAATTCTCATGTAAGGCACTTCCATGCTTTTTCAAATAGGTTTCATAAAGTTTTCTATTTTTCTAATCAACTCTTCATAAGTTATACAGTAAGAATGTTACTTCAAGTAAAACTTTATTAAATACCCAATTTTGGCATTATTTCCTTAAATATCTTTACCTTTGAATAGAATAAATTATGGGCATCAAGACCGATGCAAGCTAATCTTCCTTTTTTTCTTTTTGTGTGCAGGCTAATCTTAAATAAAAGCACTCTTGATCGTGTTTATATTCAGAGAATTGGTAATGTTTTATCTTGTTGGTCTTGTTTAAGCATCTTGAAATCCTCCAAAGGAAGACTGCGTAAGGCAGTTGGTAAAATGTGTTCAGATGTGCCTTTAGGTAATATGTTATTTGCTTCTAGATTCTTCACCAAGCAAGTGGCTTTGATCCATCTTTGAGTTGCTCTGCGTTCTTTTTGTAGGCAAGTTTTCATTTTCCTTCTTAAACTTGCTATTTCTTTTTCCAGTTTAATTATCCTCTTTTTTGCCTCCATAGGATTCCTAAAGGCATAACTGTGTTCAAGTAGCACTTGTTGACTATTAATGTTTGATTTTAAGTTAGATGGTCCAGTTGGAGTACAACTGTTACTTTTCTTCAGAAGATTCCGTGACTTGAGTTTCTGCACCAAATAAATTAGAGGGTTGTACATAAGTTATGCACTATCACAAATAAATTTTGTCCAATTTAAAGAGTATTTAAATTTCCCTTTTAAAAACTGACTTTAAAAGATAGTAAACATCACCAACCCATCTCATGTATTCATAGTTCTTCAAGTGGTTGAATTAACTTGAGTCACCTATTTCTTCTTGTTTTCCCTCTCCAGAGAGATACTAACATTGGTTTGGAAACAGACAATGGACTTCCAAGGTCTTTCCAAATTATTATGATTTTATGGAGACTATAAATATCTTTTATAATTGTCTAAGGCCAATATAATGTATTTAAATATTTATGTGATATAAATATCTAAGTCCTAGATAAATATTATTTGTTCAATTAATATTTCAGACCTTGGATCCTACTTGATAAAAACATATTCCCAAGTATCAAGCCCCTGAATAGATTTAGTACTTACTGTTTAGTTATAGCTCCCATTCAAGGATTTAAAATGTGGGCAGAAATTTTTGCCCAAATCAGAAACCTGAGGAACCTTTTTTCTTTTATTACTTTCATTCAGTTAGTCATAAAGTCCTATTAATCCTACATATTATATATCTCTATCATGAATCATCTCCTCTAGCATTCTTTTTAAAAATTATTATCGAGTCTATTGGTTAACATGATCAATAGGTTTCAGATGTGGGATTCTATGTTATAAGATCTGTATATTGCACCACGTACCCACCACCCAAAGTCAAATCTTCTCTTTTCACCATGTATTAGGTCCCCTTTTTCCCACCTGCCTCTTTAGCATTTAAAAAAAATATATTTTATTGATTTTTTACAGAGAAGAAGAGAGAGGGATAGAGAGTTAGAAACATCGATGAGAGAGAATCATTGTTCAGCTGCCTCCTGCACACCTCCCACTGGGGATGTGCCCACTACCAAGGCACATGCCCCTGATTAGAATAGAACCCATTACCCTTCAGTGTGCAGGTCGACGCTCTATCCACCGAACCAAACCGGTCAGAGCCTCTTTAGCATTCTTAATGCTACTCCCATCAGGCCTATATTATATCTAGCTTAACTATGTCATTACCTACCATAGATTTTATATGGGTACAAAAATCAAAAATGGTTGGAACAGCATCCATTTTAAGTCGTCGAGTTTGTCCTGTTAGGTCGAAACAGGAGGCTTCAAAGTGCTTTGAACAAAGAAAAGTGTGTTTTCCTGGCACAAAATTTTTGCGCCTAACCAGGCGAACCCATTCTTTTCTTCTTTTAGGATCCAAAGGAAACCTTAAAAAAAAAAAAGAAAAGGCAACTCAAATTCCAACTATCACAGTTCTCATTGCATCTAAATGGTTAAAACATTTAAAACATTTTTAAAAAATGTATTTTTATTGATTTTTTTACAGAGAGAAAGGGAGAGGAATAGAGAGTTAGAAACATTGATGAGAGAGAAACATCGATAGCTGCCTCCTACTGGGCATGTGCCTGCAACCAAGGTACATGCCCTTGACCGGAATCAAACCTGGAACCTTTCAGTCCACAGGCTGACGCTCTATCCACTGAGCCAAACGGTTTTGGCTAAAACAAATTTTAAGTGGTGATGATTTAAAGTGTCTTCAGCCTGGCTGGTGTGGCTCAGTGGTTGAGTGTTGACCCATGAACTAAGAGGTCCCCGGTTTGATTCCTGATCAGGGCACATGCCCATGTTAAGGGCTCAATCTTCAGTAGGGGGTGAGCAGGAGGCAACTGATCAATGTTTCTCTCTCATTGATGTTTCCATCTCTATATCCCTCTCCCTAAAACCAGTAAAAACATTTTAAAGTGTCTTTAATTTACACAAAAAAATGTTATATTTCCAATATCCAGACACTGTCACAGAAACCAATTCATGCTAATTTTTATAAGTTGTAAAAAATTAATAAAAGCTGACTTGAATGGTTTTATTTTTCAGGGTTTTAAAAAGAAATCTTTCATCCTACTCTAGTCCTTAACTTGGGCAGTAAAAAGAAACAAGACTACAGTAGCTCTCTGTTGGTTAGAGCATCATCCTAATACACCTAGGTTACTGGATCCATTTCCAGTCAGGGCACAAGAATCAACCAATGAATGCATAAATAAGTGGAACAACAAATCAACCCCCCCCCCTTTTCCTCTCTCTGTAAAAAACAAACAAATAAATAAACAAACAAAAACAAAAAACCCTAAACTAGATCAAGCTTATGTAGAGCTGTAGAAAGTGGAGAACTTTACATTGTACAGATCTGCTCCTGATATATTAGTACATGGTCAAGATAAATGAAATTAATGCTTGGGTTGTAGGCTCGATCCCCAGTAGGAGATGTGCAGGGGACAGCTGATGAATGATTCTGATCACTGATGTTTCTATCCCTCTCTCTCTGAAATCAATAAAAATATATTTTAAAAAAGATAAATCAAATTATCTATAGATTAAATTTTATCAAGGAAAGCCTAAATAGATTCTGGTATTCCTGTGTTCCTTCATTATGACACTGTTTTGTTTGAAATAAAAGTAGACTATAAATTTCCTGAGGACAGGAATCACTGTATCTTTTTTATTTCTATCTTTTTTGTTTTGTTAGCCCTCACCCAAGGAAATTTTTTCCATTCATTTTAAAAATGTTTTTATTGACTTTAGAAACAGGGAAAGGGAGAGAGAGTTTGAAACATCAATGATGAGAATTGATTGCCTGCTTCCTGCACGCCCCCCCTACTGGGAATAGAGCCCACACCTGGGTATGTGCCCTGAACAGGATTCAAATCCTGATCTTGGATTTATGGATTGTTGCTCAACCACTGAGCCACATTAGCCGGACCATTGAGAGAGAGTGAGAGGGAGGAAAGAGAATGGGGGAGAGAGAGAAAGAGAAACATCAATGTGAGACATATTAATTGGTAGTCTTCAGAATGCGCTCTGACCTGGGCAAGGCACCAAACCTGCAATCCAGGTATGTGCGCTTGGACTGGGAATCCAACTGGAGACCTTTTGGTGCTCAGGGCCTGGGCCAATGCTCTAATCACTAAGCAAGCAGGGCTGGGGCTTATCTCTTGAACACTTAGTACAGTTGCCTTGAGTAAGGACTCAAAAAATATTTGCTTAGTTAAAATGAGACAGAATATGTAAATTAATAACTCACTGTATAACTTCCATGTAAACAGCATACAGTTTTTAAAAAATGAATGCTATGTAGTACAGTAGAAATCATAATAATTACAAAAAGTAAAATGCTGCTGACAAGCCCAGCAGGAATGTTTTTCCTGTCCTATTTATTTCAAATATACAAATGTGTACCCAGTTAAGGAAGAGAAAAATATAAGGGACTGTCAAAATTAGTGTTAGCTGTGTTGACTGATTTGGAAACATAACCATCAACATTCACATGTAACAACTTCGAGTTCAATTCTTCTTTGGTTTGATTACCTAATGAACTGAGTAGTGTTTAAAAAGAATCATTCATGTTAGAAGATCATGTGGCTCCCTAACCGCCGCTTCACTAGGTAATAGCTTTGGCTATTATCAGACATCCTGTTTGCTTAAATGACCAGCATTGAGGACACAAAAAGATGAAAGCCCAAATTTACTGATAAATACTTTCCTGTCTCCTGTCCCTGTCCCCTCAACTCCAAACATACTCTGATCTGAAGATATTAGCATTTATTTGTCACTATACAGTTCACATTTTCATAAATGTAAGTTTTTCCCTATTTCATTAGAAACTACCAATTAATTTATTTACTCTGCGTACCCCTCACTTTTTAGTAAAATGTATTCTCACTTCAAAGATCTCTGTTCCAATATTTAATGGTTTGGAAATATTTCCTGTGCCCTGAGCTTAAAAATCAAGCTTTAGTTTATAAACACTAAACTTATGAACTTCTTCTTATTGGGGGCCTCAATGAAGTCTCAGAACGTATAAAATAAGTACTATCATTGGGTTATCATTTGTATAAGACTCTTCAGAAATATGAAGGCTGTCTTTAACCTCTTTGTAGCTTTTTAAAAATGAGCTCCCTAATTGTACAATCAGTACCTCCAACAGAACCTTAACCAAATTTTATTTCCATCTTTTAAGGCTCCATTAAGGAATATCATCTTCCTAAAGAAGTTTTCATGATCAGAAGATAAGGTTAGATGTTTCTATATGATAAAAAATTAATACTACTGTATTCTAATTGCTTGATTTTCTATCTCCACCACTCTTATCACGTTTTTTCCTGGTTGGAACTGTTTTTCACTACTTTATTATGTTAAGCACTCAGTGAGCTTTTCTGAGTGAATCAATGAACTAATGGAGCCAGCTTAACATTTCTAAATAATCTTTAGTTATGTGTTTAAATAGAATAATAACCAACAAATTTATTGATTTCAGAGAGGAAGCGAGAGGGAAAGATGATGAAAGAGAATCATTACTTCCTGCACACCTCCCACTGGGGTTGTGCCCTGATTGGGAATCGAATCGTGACCTCCTGTTTCATAAGTCAACACTCAACCACTGAGCCATGCTGGCTGGGCTAATCAACAATTTTATATTTGATTTTTCTATAATCATATTTTGCATGTGTTAGATTTTTCTTAGTATGTTCAAAGGGGGTAGATATAGCCCATAGTTGAATTTAAATAATAAATCATCCTGTAAGTATTTAAAAAATATCACAGTGGTAACAGATGGATATATGTTTATCTACACCGTAATAAAACTAAGCTTTCAGAAACATTAGATGTTTGGAAAAAATCACTCAGTATTTTAAGCAATGCTATTTGACTTGGGTCTTTAATAAATGGCTGAATTCCCTTATATTCCAAGAAATGCCCTAGGAACTGTGCCAAATGGTAAATAAAACTGACCTACTTTTATGGTATCTACCTTCTATTAAGGTCATACTGTAATGGGGAGGATAGAGAATTGAACAACTTGGTGCAATAGAAAAGAATGCCTGAGAACTGTTGTCTCTCAAGTCAAATCAGGGTGTCAATCCTGGTTACTTTACATAACAACTAGATAACTTTAGGCAAGTTATGCAACCTTTTTAGTCTTTAATTTTATTGTCTATAAGGTATCATTTTAATGATATCTAGTGTGGTTCTAGGGATTAAATGAGACAGTTTATGATAAATACTAAACATTTATTATTATAAAAGTAATTACAAGTGTCTTGGGTGTTCTAAAAAAGGTTAAGTACAAGGTTGAATGGAACCATAAAACTGGAAGAGCTAATCTATTAGGAGGCTTTAGGATAGTGGGAATTAGCTAGAGGAATTAGGGTGGGATTAGTGAAGAATGTTATTGCATGAAATGATGCCAGAGAACTTTCTAAGTTAAAGAGTAATTTTGAACTTTATCCAAAATGGCATCAGCAAGCTATTATAAGTCACAATTTAGAGCTGATTAAAAAAAAATGTTTTTTTTACTGATTTCAGGAGAGGGAGGGAGAAACATCAATGAGAACCATCAATTGGCTACCTCCTGCATGGCTCGTACTGGGAATGGAGGCACGTGCTCTGACCGGGAATTGACCAGGAATTGAATCGGCGGACCTCCCAGTGCATGGGATGATGCTCAATTGATTGAGCCATACAGAGCTGGGGGCATTATCTTATCCTTAAAACTATGTATGTCTGTTATATCTATATGGTATAAATGCTATATAGAGTAGTGTGGTACTGCACATCTCTTCCCAACAGTGTGATTAGTGATTGGTCAGGTTGGTAGTTTGAAACCAGATAAGGTAGGGAGCATTTATATTATAGAATTAGGGCAAATACCATGAATCAGGGCTTTCCCCCTTCCTTGGAGATTCTGTTGTTAAACATTTAGGAACACATCACTGATTACAGAAGTTAGGAGTACATGAATGGAAGCAGTGAACCAGTTAAGAGGCTGCTGTAATCGAGTCAAAAGGGAATGGTAGGAAATTAAGAAAGGATGACCTTCCGATTTCTGTGTAGTAAATGATGTTTTCATTTACTGAGAAAAGGCATGTGGGAAATGGAATAGGTTTGAGGAAAGGGCAAATTCTTTAGTATAGTTTTGATATAAATCTGAAGAACTGGAGAGGCCAGGGGAATACTGAGACACTTGGCCTATATATAGGTCTAGAACTCAATGGGATTTGGACTGGAGATAATTTGGGAAGCATCACCAAGTAAATATTAACTGAGACCACAGCAACAGTTGACTTTTTTTTTTTTTTTTTTTTTTTTTTTTTTACAAAGAGAGGGGCTGGCAGGGAAGATAGACTACAGAAGTAACTGAAAAGCACAAAATTAGTGTCAAATAATTCAAGAGTAGAGAGTATTTCAAGGAGGAAATGATCACATGCCATGAGAAAGGAATACAGTAGTGACAACTCATATTAGCAAGAGCAATTTCAGAAAATTACTTGTGAGACCTAGTCCTGAGTGGGCAGAGATAAGAAAAAAATGAAGATAGTTAAGTTCAGGCAACATAAGTTGTATATGGGAATAAAAGAAATCTATCAATGTCTTAGGAGTTAGTTCATAGTGTTTGATTATAAAATAGAAATGTATTTTTATTATTTTAAAAATAAATATATTTTATTGATTTTTCTTACAGAAAGGAAGGGAAAGGGATAGAGAGTTAGAAACACCGATGAGAGAGAAACATCGATCAGCTGCCTCCTGCACACCTCCCCCTGGGGATGTGCTGGCAACCAAGGTACATGCCCTTGACCGGAACTGAACCTGGGACCATTCAGTCCGCAGGCTGACACTCTATCCATTGAGCCAAACAGCGAAATGTATTTTTATTGTTACTTTATGACCTATATTTTTGGGTTACACATGAAAATGTTAAATTTTAAGAAGCAAGTAATCAAACACGGAAAGGAAGTATGCATGCTACTGTACACTATGTATCTCTTAAACATTCACTATTATTGGTCCTAGACTCTTTCCTATCTCTCATCTTCCAAATCAAATACAGTAGTTTCTCCTCAAATATTTCTCAAATCTGTCCACTCTTCCATCCTTACTGTGAGTACTACTCTAGGCCACTGGGTGGACTCCCCCTTATTTTAAGGCAGGCTCCTTTTTTTTCTCTTATCAAGTCTCACCTCTCCTATTCTAGTGTTGGTTGTGACAGCAAAGAAATACATTGTGTAGTTCAGTTGACACTGTAGTGTAGATTTCCTTGTGAAAGAAACAGTGGGTAAGTAAACATTCTTTAAACAAGCTTCTTTCTCATTGAATTTCTCCCCGGGTGATACTCAACCAGCACTTTCAATAACACTATTCTCCACATTTCAGCTAGAGGACTTTTTAATATGCACATTTAATCATACCATTTTTAAAAAGCCTTCCATGGCTTCTCAAGTACTAATGGATAAAATAGAAAATCCTTAAAGGGGCATACAAGACTATGTCACCATTTGGTCTCATTTGAAACTTCACATCCTTTGAGAAGTGTTCTTTGACTTTACAAGGCTAAGTTAATTCTCCCTGAATGTCTTTTCTGCAATTATATTTGTCTTTTTTTTTTTTATTATATTCTAAACTTCAAGAATATAAAAACTTCCTGGATCTCTAGCATGATGTCAGGCAAATAAGAACTTGGTACACATTTGATAGATGGACAAAACACTACATTTGATGAAGTAGTTGAAAACAGAAACATCATAAATATTTTTTTAAAGTGGAACTTTTTATTTATTTATTTATTTATTTATTATATATGTAGGGCGTAATATCACAGGAAGGTCATGGTATCTTGCCACCTGTGAGAAGTAAGCCCAAGATGCTGTTGGATGTGTTTCTTACAAGGGAGCCATTCTTCAGGCGCTCTACTCTCTCCACATCCATTAAAGTGGAACTTAAAAAAAAAAAAATATATATATATATATATTTTATTGATTTTTTACAGAGAGGAGGAGAGAGGGATAGAGAGCTAGAAACGTCGATGAGAGAGAAACATCGACCAGCTGCCTCCTGCATACCCCCTACCGGGGATGTGCCGTCAACCAATGTACATGCCCTTGACCGGAATCGAACCCAGGACCCTTCAGTCCGCAGACCGACGCTCTACCACTGAGCCAAACTGGTTTCGGATAAAGTGGAACTTTTAATAAGGGGGTACATTATGTCATGAGGTAGGGAAAAGGTCAAAGATATAATTTTCTACATCCTATGATTGTATTAAGTTGTGAGGTATATAAAATCAGAACTGTTTACACTTAATGCTTTTTAGTGCTCCTTTTCTTCAGTCACATGGCAGGCACTTGCAGAGAAGGTAAATATTTATTTACTCTATTTCATGTAGTGTTCAAAGTGCTTTCAAGATTTCTGATTTGAGAGGACTAAAGAATTATCATTGGCCCTACCTGGTTTGGCTCAGTGGATAGAGCCTCAGCCTGTGGACTGAAGGATCCTGGGTTCAATTCCAGTCAAGGGCACATGCTTGGGTTGCAGGCTTGATCCATAGTAAGGGGCGTGCAGGAGGTAGCCTATCAATGTTCTCTCTCATCATTGATGTTTCTCTCTCTCACACTCCCTTCTTCTCTAAAATCAATAAAAATACACGAAAAAAAAAAAAAAAAAACTTCCAGCAAAGGAAGGCAGAACCTAGGTTCTTTTTATTACTCCTGGTAAGAACAGGAAGCTTATCTTTTGCACTTTCATTAATATTGCCTAAGTCCATGATTATCATCAGTGATGACTCAATTCCTCTGCAGAGTTAGTGTATGGGACTATTAGAGAAATCTAAACGCTTCCCATGTCAGTTTGGCTAGGAAGAATTTCCTGACTTTAACGGGAACCCAGTAGGCTTGAAGGTGATTGCCGACTTGAGCAGGAAGATTTCTTACGGAGTCCTTAACGTCAAGACCAGTCTACTACATGGGAGTAAAAGAGTAGACAATTAAGGTATCCGGCTGTCACTTTTATAAGGAGTCATCCCCATACAAAACTTGGATTGCTTTTATAAAGCAAGTACATCTTCCCCCCAAGGGGAGAAGTACTGGACAGATTTGAGAAACACACAAAGGGGGGAAAAAATAAAATACAATGCCTCCCTGCTACCCGCTTAGGTAGCGAAGTTATCAGAATTAGCGGAATCCAGGTGTTCCTTCTGCACAAGCAAACGTTCAGTCTAACAGCTCGCGTTTCCTCTCACCCCCACTCCCTCCCCGCCCCGGTTACCTGTGGAAGCTGATGTTAATGTGCTTGTTGTAGGTGGTGGCACAGCCCGCCGCGGCGCAATTGGTCGGCATTTCCCTTTCCCCCTCATTCGGCGCCGTCGTGAGCCAGTCCCGGGGCGCTGACAGCTGCGCTGGGCCGGCGAGGCCGGGGCAGGCCCCCCGCGCAGAGCCGCGGGGCGGGGCGGGCACAGGTGTGTGTGCGTGTGTGTATGTGTGTGTGTCGGGGGGGGGGGGGGTAGGGAATCAGCCTTCCCTCTTTATGAATATGGCCGACTCGAGCCCCCAGAGCCGTCAGTCCCGCAGCGCCAGTCGCCTTCCTTTGCCTTCACCAACATGGCGGACACAACCCGGCCCCCTCCCTGGCCCCCAAAAGGGAGAGGGACTACTACTGCGTCTCTTTAGGAGCTGTTTTTGGGGTGGGGTGAGGTGGGGGTGGGGGGGAAAGAGATACTATCCGCGTCCCCGATCCCCACTTCTAGGATACACTCTCGAGGCCGAGGTGAAGAACAAACCCGCCCCGTCCAACACGCACCCAGATAATCCCAATCCCGTCCGAGGTGGGTGTGAGTTGTAGGCTGGCAGGACAAACCCCCCTAACGCAGGAAAGGAAAAAACTACAAGTCCCACCGAGCATCGCGTGGTTCTTAATCGTTCTCGCGGGAACTGAGCGCCTTGTTTCCGGCCTTCCGTAGGAAGTGACGTCGTGGGCTGAGCCACTCTCCGACCCCCTTTCTCGCGAGGCGGAAGAGCTCCATTCGCGGAGGAGCAAGGGGGCGCTAGGGTAGGGAACTGGGTTGCGACGGTCCGGCGAGAGAGCGCTGGGGTGCCGGGAGAAGTTGGCGAGCACAGCCCGCTAGGCGTCCGAGAAGGGCAAGGCCGCGCCGACCGGGTCCGTTAGGAAAGAAGGGGCCGAGGAGGAAGGTGATCGTCGGGCGGTTCCCCCGCCGGAGGACTCGGGCGGTGTAGAAGGCGCCGGCTGCTCCCGGGATGGCGACCGCAGATCCTCCGGCCGCAGCCTCCAGTGGCCTGTCGCCCAAGGAAGAAGGGGAGCTGGAAGACGGGGAGATCAGCGATGACGACAATAGCCAGATACGGAGCCGGAGCAGCAGCAGCAGCAGCGGCTGCGGGCTGTTACCGTATCCGCGGCGGAGGCCTCCTCACCCGGCCCGGGGCGGCGGATCCGGCGGCGGCGGCGGCGGCGGCGGCGGCGGCTCCTCGTCGTCATCGTCCTGTTCGCAGCAGCAGCTGCAGCTGAGGAATTTCTCACGCTCGCGGCACGCGGAGCGAGGCCACCTCAGGGGACACAGCAGCTACCGTCCCAAAGAGTCGTTCCGCTCTCACCAGCCCTCCGTGCGGATGCCGTCGAGCTCGCTGTCCGAGAGCAGCCCCCGGCCGTCCTTCTGGGAACGGAGCCACATCGCCCTGGACCGTTTCCGCTTTCGAGGCCGGCCTTACCGGGGCGGGAGTCGCTGGAGTCGGGGTCGTGGAGGGGGTGACCGAGGAGGCAAGCCGGGGGGCAGACCGCCGCTGGGCGGAGGGCCGGGATCCGGATTCAGCGGCGGCCAGAGCTGGCGGGAGCCCTCTCCACCTCGGAAGAGCTGTATCCTTAACGTGGCGGTCGGCCCTGGGTGTGTCCCTAAAGTTTCCCTCTAGCGTCATTACTTGGGCCCGTGAGATGAGTAACTTCGCGGAACCGTCGGAGCCGCTTGTTTGTTACTTCAAGTCAGTAGTTCTTGGGCGATCCCCGTGTGTCATGCTGTATAGTGTTTTTAAAGGTCGCTTTATTGGGTCTATTGCTTTTGAACGTCACCGAGTCATTGTTTGGTGGGGCCAAGCTAGTGGAATCCTAACAGTCTAAAATCAGATTTGTAACAGTTCCTCAGAAAGCCTACGTTTTATTAGCACTATGTCTTTGCTGGTATACAGAAACTTTATACGTGAGGTTAACGTGGACTGTTAGAGGGAGAGAAGACTATATAGACAATTTGGGGAATAGTGTTTTTTGTTTTGTTTTAAATCGTGTTACACTTTTGATAGTGTAAATTATGAAGTTTCATTCCGCATAATTTTACCGTTTTTGTTTGTGATTTTGTTTTTACCTTTCTTGATTTGTTCTTATATATTGGTGTCCTTTAAAGTGGGTTCAAAAGACCATATATTATCTTCACCAACTATGCTACTTCAGAGGATTTAAATTCATGTATCTTCTTGGAAGACTTTACCTCTTTAACTTATCTGTTTCTTACGTTTACTTTTTGGACATTTTATAACTCCTAGTGCTGACAGATTGGGTCAGAAAGGGAAGTAGAAACTTAACAGCATTTTAATTTTAATATATGGGAAGCCATAAGGATGTATGGGAGGGTGGAGATGTGGAGAGGTTGAGAGACAAAATACCTGATTTTTGTTTCCTCTAACCTTATTCTTCGTTATCTTTAACATTCCCGAGTCTACACAATATTTAACATTCCCGATTCTACACATACTGAGTCACCTGAAATTTTGCTATTTTGTGATGGGTTGGTAGAACTATGTCTTGGTTATTCGATGATAACTACATAAAAGTAGTTTACTTGGCACCTTTACTATTGGTTGCAATTTCAATGGTATAATGATTTTGTTAGTATAGTTATTATATATGAAACTTACATATAATGACATTTGTTTGGAAGGCACTCAACATTATTTTTATACTAGAGCCATATGGTCTTTTTTAGATTTCAAGATACAAAGAGGACAGGAAATGTAGGTTTAGGTAAATAGCTAGCTTTTGGTGCTAGTGACTTGTAAAAACTTATTTCGGCAACCAAAATTTGAGTTAGGAACATTCCAGGATTATTTCAGAGAAAATCATGTAGGTATTTAACTTTTAAAGCCAGAGAGGATGTTTTTCAAAAAAGTTAAAATCCCTGCCTGAGATATTTATTAACCAAGGATTGATTTGTTCATTGTCAATTCTGAATCTAAAAACAGAAAGGTATTTATGCTCATATACTGGTATGTATTTTTTAAGAATAGAAAAAATGAAATATGTAATTTGTGATGGAGAGAGTTAAATAATTAATTTAATGTAAAAAGTTCAAATTGAGGTGCATAAAAAGGGTTATGGGAACTCAAAAGTTTATTCTTAAATTATTCTGTTGAAAAGGGGTGATGAGTGGGTTTCCCTACCTCCTTTCTTTGCCTTCCTTCTGTCCACTCATTTAATATCAATTCGGCGTCTGCCTTATACCTTTATTAATTAAATTCATATGTTTTTATTAATAAACAGGCATATGAAGTTGTAAAAAGTTCAGGAAGATAACCAGTCTGATTTCTCTATTACTGGAAATGAGCTGTCTTGATGTTTTTGTTTTCACAGACGCTGCATTTAAGAAAAGGATGCTTGTTTTCATCCTCTGCTAATTGCTTTTCTCGTGAAGTATCATTAATCTATCCTAGAGGTGATATTCTTTTAAGGCTTTGTGAAGAAAAACATAGTTCCCAGCCACTTTTTTTTATAACATGAGCAAACAAAATTTGTAATGTGAAATTTTTATTTATTTAAATTTCTTTCTTTTTAAAAGAATTATCTTTATTGTTTTTTTTTTATATATATTTTATTGATATTCACAGAGAGGAGGAAGGGAGAGAGATAGCTAGAAACGTCGATGAGAGAGAAACATCAACCAGCTGCCTCTTGCACACCCCCTACTGGGGATGTGCCCGCAACCAATGTACATGCCCTTGACCGGAATCGAACCTGGGACCTTTCAGTCCGCAGACCAACGCTCTACCACTGAGCCAAACCGGCTTCAGCAAGAATTATCTTTATTGTTGAAAGTATTAGATGACCAAGATTGTACTGAGTTTAATTCATATTTTCATTGTTGGTTATAATAATGACATTTCTATTTTAAAATTTTTGCATTCAGAAAGAACAAATTCTGTGGCTCATTTCCATAATCAGAAGTGAAGCATGAGTACAGATGTTTTTTGTTTTTGTTTTTTTAACTTCTTTCTTTGTAATGATTAAGGTATGTTAGATGTAGCTTAAAAGAAGTAGAATAAACCAAATCCTACTGCAGTACTTACTGTCTTCTAAAAAATATTTCAGAATTGATAGAGAGAAAGAGAGAGAGAGAGAGAGAGAGAGAGAGAAGGAAGTGGGAGAGAAACATCAATGTGAGAGAAACATCATTCAGTTGCTTCCTGAACTCCCCCTACTGGGGATGGAGCTGGAAACCCAGGCATATATGTGCCCTGACTGGGAATGGAGCCCCGCACTTCTTGGTGCATGGGATGGTGCCCAGCCAACTAAGCCACACCAGCCAGAGCCAGTACTTATTTTCATTTTTTTTTAAAATATATATATATACATATTCAAATATATTTTATTGAATTTTTACAGAGAGGAAGAGAGAGGGATAGAAAGTTAGAAACATCGATGAGAGAGAATTATCGATCAGCTGCCTCCTCCACACCCCCTACCAGGCATGTGCCCATAACCAATGTACATGCCCTTGACGGGAATCGAACCCGGACCTTTCAGTCCCCAAGCCGATGCTCTATCCATTGAGCCAAACCGGTTTCGGCTATTCTCATTCTTAATCGATTTGAGAGATGGGGAGAGGGAGAAAGGAACTCGATGTGATAGGGAATCAAACTTGCTACCTTCCAGACTATAGGATGATGTTCCAATCAACTGAGCAACACTGGCCAGGGCATTCTCATTGATTTTAAATTTTTCTTAGTGATAGATAGCATATGTCTCCTTTTGATGACTACTGTTTTAAACCTTCAAATCTGATGAGAGCTAAAATATTAGACCAGTATCTCATTAGAAAGTCATTTTATTTTCACCTGTAGTTATAAAGGTTGACAGGTAGCTTGTTTTTAAAACCAGGTTTCAGCTAGAAATTGCATCCTGGTCATCTTAAAATTAAACACTGTTGGTTTTTAGCTGTCCTGCATAGAAGTAGATTTCAGCCCTGCTGGGTAGTTCAGTTGGTTACAAAACTTTTGACATATGTGTACCCCTTCTATAATTTTCGTAACACTGAGTACCCCTCATACTCATGAGAATGTAGAAT